GGGCGACTCGGGCAGGGCTTGGGGACAGGGCACTGCCTGCGGTCCCCGGACACCAGCGAAGGACTCGCAGGTCCAGCCCAGTTGGGCAGTCTTCCAGCCCCCGAGAGCTTAGCAAGCAGCAGGTACGGAGGGACCAGACCTTAGGTCAGTTCACTCCTCTATTTACCACCCCCTCTCAGTTGCGTGGTTCAAATCCTTCCAAGTACCCCCAGCCCTCTGTTATCTCCCTGAGCAGGGTGGAGGGCTGCAGGGAGCAAATGCAGGATTTCTTACTTTCCCTCTACATCACCAAGTCAAGTTGCCTACAGGGATCTGTGATTGCAGAACTTAAAGTCTTCACAGAGCTGTCGTGCCGCATCAGCCATGAAGATGGCCTCAAGCCGCACTGCAGGACAAAGCGCGTTGCACCATGGCCCATCGGTTTGGAAATTTCAGTGGGGACCAGAGCCTGGCAGGATAAGGGTTGAGCCCTAAAGCAGCGAGTATGAACATAAACCCAGTAATTAGTGAGAAACACGGAACAAAACACACCATGTCCATATCCTGTATCACAGTCCTCCCAGCTAGCATACAGGTTGTGAAGTGCACAACAGGTTCGTGATTTTCCCTTTAGATCAAAAGATAGCTTCATCGCGGCACTGTGGGTTTTTTATTCAACTCTTGCTGACTTCCCTCTGGATTTTAGTAAAACTTTCACAGCCTCTATGATTCCATTTCTCACTCTCTGCGACAAGATTTAGGAGAGGTAGTATCATTTTTAAAGCTAATAACTTACAATTGGGTAGTAGGTTGGATTTTTCCAGCAGTCTGCTTAACTGGAGTTTGTACTACCGCACCCCCGTAAGAAAGATGTGCTTTTGCTTTCCTAGGGTTTTTCATGGGAGCAGCACTCTGTTCTACAAATACGGTCTTCGTTATATAAGGGCATTTACAAGGCCTGCGTACTGGAGTACACATAAGACCAGGGCAACAATGAATAGAGCCATTGATGACAGAAGTTTAATAGTAAATATAAATAGATTCAAGGCAGCATAGCATAGTCTTTTTTTAAAAAGCTTTTCCAAGAAGCCCGAGAGCCGGGCTGCAGCCTGTTATACCTGAGGGCCATAACTTAGCCAGGCAGCAGTAGAGCATTCTCAAAAGTAACTCGACGTATGCCCTGGCTTCAGAAAGAGGCGCTGTTTCAAAATGCGAGCATTAAAAGGGATGGAGCCTAGATTCGTGATATAAACCAATAATAATAAATCTTGAACTACTGTTCATGGTTCGGTTGTTTCCACCTTTTTATGCCATGTGAAGTGGAAACTTGATTTCCTAAATGAAATTAAGAGCTGCCCTTGTAATCACATGTCAGGCACGCGTGGCATTGATAACAAACATATCACATGCTGTTTTATTGCTGAGGTAATTGTTTGAGCGGCCAGTTCTTTGAGCTGTTTTTCCAGTTCAGATGGAAGAGAGAACAGGGGCTGTGTTCCCAAAGTGCAAGAAGTGATGGTGTTGAAATGTGCACAGTGCAAGCCACTGAGAACTGCCAAACCAAGAAGACTGACTTTATTTTCTGGTTTGTATACCTATTGCAGTGGCAAAAGTGTAGGTGCCACCTAATTTGATACATCTACGACAGGCCAATTCTTTTAATGCTTTTTTGCCAAAAACCCCCTCTCTACCTTTCCTTTTCATGCAGCAACCTCAGGAATGCAAACCAAACGCTGTCATGGAGTAACCTTCCTTATTCTCAGAGAACTTCACACCTCCATTTCATCTCAGCAGATGACAACCCAGTGCCACAGTTACAGGGCATTCCTTCCCAGAACAAACTGCACACCACAACTCCTTTTCAAACATGTGATCCTGAAAGTACCCCCTTTGAAAAGGGCGTTAAGCTTCACTATTTTGTTTAGTTTATTATAGGTCTCCAAGTCACTGATGCAACTAGTTGACAATCACCTAAATCTTAGACTTTGTTTGTGTAGTTTGCCCTACACATTGCAGGCCATCAGAGCAGGGAGGAGACCGTGCTCTCCTGCTATTGCCCGTAAGCAATGATATTCAAAATAAATTTTCATTAAATTTGGAGTCTAGCTCAATGGCACGGTCACAGACGGCACTGAGATGAAAGCCCTGGAAGCCAAAATTTCTGTTTATTTACAGCACATTTGCAAGCTGAGCAGAAGGGGCCCGTTGAATATCAGGCCTTCGGCTAGGAAGCGTGACAACCATCACGGTGGTTTTGGTAGGGAAGACTTTCACAAAAGCAAACAAGTGGCCTTACAACTCAGTTAAATGTCATATGGTAACAATAAATTCTGTTGTTGTAACTACAGCAGCTTTTTTATTTTTTTTAACAATGAAGAAAAGCCTTAAAATTATTTTCATGCTGCAAAGAGGATGGCTAATCACGAGCAGCAGTTTGGGTTCGCATCTCCACAAGCGTTCTGCTTGCTACCCCTCTCCCAAAGCAAGCCGTTCACACCCCCTCCCAGCGGAGAGGGGCGTTCAGCTATCCACGCTGTGGGCACACCCCGAGACGGGGCTTTGTACAGCAAACCCTCCTCTGCCCTTTTGGCTCGCCCGCATCTTGCCCCCGCCGGAGGAGAGGTGGCGGGACCGGGCTGCCTCTGGCAGGGCTGCTGCCCAGGCGGGCGGCGATGGGAGGGAGGTCCCTGCAGAGGGTGCTCCAGCCCCGGCCACCTTCCTCCAGCTGCCGCCGGCCACAGCCTACTTCGGGGTTTCGTGGAAACCCACGGGTGGGAAGGAGCACACGCAGACAGGGGGACCTTGGCAGGCCGGGAACACATCAGCGAGAGATTTAACTGCAGGGTTGGGTTGCTCAGCAGGCCCGTTTCCCAGAAATTCAGTACCTGGCTCTCCACGGTTTGGTGTAAAAAGAAGTTTCTGCTGCAGCGGAGTAAAACGCCGCTCTTTCCAACAGCCTTTGATGTGGAAAAGGATGCTGGTTTGACTCTGATAATGCTGCAGATCAGAGGAAGGTCACTTCCCTGGGATGTGTAGCGCCTGCTGGCAGCACTTTACTTAAAGCCCAGCAGCACCGGGACCACAACCACCTGATGCCTGTTTCCAGACTGACTCGGAGTCAGATGAGCTGAGCAGACTCAGGTCTAGATCCTAAGAGAGATGACACTGGTAAAAATTCTTTGCAATAATTGCAGCTTAGAAATTAAAGTCCAAATATGCCACTGAGACAAAAATATTCTTACATCTCTCTAATTTGGCAGGCAGTATAAATAAACATGAGATTTTGCCACATTATGGAACAAACCACAACAAAGTGAAACTCTCTTAATTCTGTTAGTTTCTCTGGATCTGAGCTGATGCCCTGGCCAGAGATGGTGCGGGGGACCACCCCCAGGCACTGTCTGTTCTGCAGCTCATTCCCCAGATTGCCAATGGGCACTGAAGCCATCAAGCAGCATTTATTTTTACATTCTTTAAAAAGTGACCGTTGTAGAGAAGTGCTGGGAAACTCCCTTCCTCTGCTTCACAAAGAGTTTTTGATGTATAAATCTTATTAGTAATATCGATTATCCACTCAGTCCTCCTGCAAAACCCCTCAGCCCAGCCCCTGAAAACCACAAAATGACTGAAATAAAGCACCTAAGCCAAAACTAAGGCAGGATCTCGTATGTACCAGCATCTTCCTTCTTTACTCATTACTAATTCTTCCATCTCTGTTTTTTTGGAGACGAGTTTATATCTCACTGGCTTTCAGAGCAAGCAGGCCCCAACAACCATTACAGATGCCTCCTCTTAGGCTTCATACTGCGTTGGCAGGCACAGGGGGGTACAGTTGGCCTTGTAAATTAAGACATAGTTTTAATAAGCAGCTTCAGCACATAGACACGAGAGAAGAGAAGCAGAAGTTTCTGAGGGACTCATGCTCCCAACACATGCCCAAAGGGTTATTTAAGGTACTTTACTGTAAAGCCCACAGAGAGGAGTAGGATAGTCTTTAAAAACCTTTTGTAAAGTAGAGCTGGACAGGGAAAACTGCAGAAGAAGAGTTTGGTTATCAAACACCTAGATTCCCTGGGACTGATTCCCCCCCCAGGTGTCAATTTTACAACTGATTAAACAGCACGTTGCGTTTTCTGTGAAAGTCTGGGCAG